ATGACCAGTCCATTAGATAGTGAAAGCGAGCCTAATTAATGTGTCCCTGGGCTAACTCCGATAATTGATTGCGTAAACTTCCGTCCAATGCTTCGCGACCACAAAATATTCCAAAATATTGAAAATAACACATAAAACATCAAAGCAAATAAATCCATCCAAATAATAAATAAGGCGAAAAATAGAAACGTGCGAATAAATTAAGTGTATAAAAATATATAATTAAATATATAAAACACGCATATTTTTCGACATGTCAAATTTCTTTTATTGTTCAATTTTTGAAAAGTAATACATTAAATCACCCTTGCAACTGTATATATTACTAGTGGGCAAAAATCTCAATGATCTTGTAAATCATACCTCTAATCTCTCTACAAGTTTCATTTGATCCAAAGCTCATTCTCAAAATTATCTCTACAAAATTCCTCTAGCAAAATTTTATCCGCTGCAAATCTCTGTCTCACCCTATATGCAACTACCTCCCGACCTAGTACGGGAAGCCCAGTCCTCCCGGAGTCCCCCAAGAGTCCACTTGAGGACCATTGGAAGACATGCCTTGAAAAATTTGGGCCCAAATTCGTCATTTATTGTGCCTTCAGCAGCCACATGATCCTCCAAAAGGCCCATTTTTGGAGCTTCTGCTCGTATTCTAGATGACGGGCCTCCCCTTCTTTGTTGCCAAACTATGATACTGATTTGTAGAGGTTGAGGTACTCATACTTGTTACATGGAGTAGGATGAATCATGTGAAGGCATGTAAAAGTGACAAGGATTCACCCTAGGCCACTTCCTAATTTGGAGAGCGCCAAATTGTTTCTAAAAGCCAAGTTAATGACCTCATGCAATATCATGCAGATCACATGAAGAGCACGTGACAGACTTTTATCATTTTCTATTTTATATTTTTGTCTTATTCTTTATGATTCCTTTATCCTTAGATTTATGCCAAGTGTAGGGATTAGATGAGATCCATTCTTGTATATAATATCTCTCTCTTGTGATAGGGTTAACATTCATTATTCAATGAGATGAATTAACTGCGGCTGCTACATTCCATATTGTTTTCATGATGTTTCTTGGATCTGCCGTTGCTCATTTTGCTTTCATGGTATCAGAGCAGGTTTGATACCTGTCTCGGATGCCCTTCTCTTCCCCATTTTCTCCATTTCTTTTCCTTTCCTTTTAGATCTAAAAAATGGCAGACGAACAGAGTATTGTTCGATCAAGTATGAAAGCCATAGTTCAACCTCAAAGCCAACTCATCACTGTGAAGCTGACTGAAAGCAATTACCTGGTATGGAAGCAACAAATTTGGGCTGTCATCCGTGGTTATGGTCTTCAAGGGTACCTTGATGGAACAAACAGAAAACCAGAAGAGTACACTCCAGGTAACTCGGCTGAGAACCCTGTGATTAATCCAAGTTATTTGACTTGGTGTAGACAAGATCAGTTGTTAGCTTCTTGGATCTTGTCCTCCTTATCTGAAGGAGTTCTCATTAGCACTGTTGGGCTCAACACATCCAAAGAAATCTGGGGTTCCCTGCTTAACAGCTTTGCAAGTCAAAACCTTGCCAAAATCATGCAACACAGGTTGCAGCTGCAAACACTGAAAAAAGGATATATGCCAATGAGAGAATACCTAAGCAAGGTTAAAAGCTGTTGTGATCTCTTAGGGCAGTTGGGGAGATTATAAAGGAAATGGATCATATCTTGTATATCTTAGCTGGACTTGGACCAGAGTATAATCCAGTGATGGTCTCAGCACAAGCCAGAATTGAACCTTGCAGGTTAAGTGAGATCCAAGCCATGCTCTTGAGCTTTGAGGCTAGACTTGAGTCCTTTAATACCAGTCTTGAGGAAGGTTCTTATATGGCCAACACTGTGACTCAATTTCCTTCCAGAAGAGGTGGTTTTACAGCAAATAGAGGAAGATGTCAGATGCAAAACCAAAACCAGTTTGGTAACTCAAGAGGAAGAGGTAGATATCAAAGGAGAAGAGGAGGAAGATTTGGAAGTTTCAAACCCCGGTGTCAAATTTGCCACTATAATAACCATACTGCAGACAAGTGTTATTACAGATGTGACCTCAACTTTGTTCCCAACTCCAACAACAACAACAACTTCAGTAATAGAGGAGGATCACACTTGAGTAGCAATCAAGTAAGTGCTTATGGAGGGAATTTTTCAAATGCCAATGCTAATATTGCCAACCTCTCAAGTATTGATAATGTGCGAGACCAATGTTGGTTCCCTGACTCAGGTGCAACAAATCACATTACTCATGATCTTGCCAACCTCAGTGTGGCCTCAGAATATCAAGGAAGTGAGAAGGTTCAAGTGGGAAATGGAAAAGGTTTGGCTATTAATCATTATGGTAAATCAATGTTCTGTTCACCTACTTCTAAACACAAATTCCTTCTCAACAATTTGCTGCATGTTCCTAATATAACTAGAAACTTAATTAGTGTCAGCCAATTTGCTAGAGACAATAATGTATTTTTTGGATTTCACCCATCCATTTGTCTTGTGAAGGATATGAATACCAGTACCACTCTTCTCAAAGGAACCCTTAGAGATGGACTCTATGCTTTCAAGTTCACCAACCCAGACCCTCATTCAACACTCAACTCAGACTCAACCATCAAGAATCTCTCCAGTCCACATTCAAGTTTATGTTATGCTTCTGTTTTGAAAAACAAGACTAGCCTAAATGTTTGGCATGCTAGATTAGGCCATCCAGCTTTTGACATTGTCAAGAAAGCTTTGAATAAATGTAATGTTGACTTTGATCCTGATATTCAGAATGATTTATGTTCAGCTTGCCAACAATCAAAATCTCACAAGCTACCATTTACAGCATCTACTTCTCATACTTATGAACCTTTTGATCTTATCCATAGTGACTTATGGGGTCCTTCACCCATCAAGTCCTTTAATGGTTTTTCTTACTACATAAGCTTCATTGATGATTCAACCAGACATGTATGTATATATCTGCTTAAAGTCAAGTCAGCTGCATTAGGAGCTTTTATTCACTTTCATCAAATGATCAAAACTCAATTCAATAAGAGCATAAAAACTTTTCAAACTGATGGTGGAGGTGAATACAAAGCTATGACTAAATATCTTGTTGATAATGGAATTATACACCGTTTTCCTTGTCCTTACACCCTAGAACAAAATGGGTTGGCAGAAAGGAAGCATATGTCCATCACTGAAAAAGGTTTGGCTTTATTGGCTCATAGTGGTGTTCCCCAAATCCATTGGGACTCAGCTTTCACTACAGCTGTGTATCTCATGAATAGAATTCCCTCCAAACCCATTAAATTTCAAATTCCTTTTCAAGCCCTTTACCAACAGCAACCAGAATACACACACTTAAGAACATTTGGGTGTCTTTGTTACCCATATTTAAGACCCTATAATAAGCATAAAATGCAGTTCAGGAGCCAACCATCTACCATCTTGGGATACAGCCCTCACCATAAGGGTTTTAAAGTGTTACTACTTGACAGGAAAGTCATATACACTAGACACCTTACCTTTGATGAGTCCATTTTTCCATTTCTCTCCAGGAAAACTTCTACACCACCTATCACTCCACAATTCATTTCTGTCCCTTCTCCCTCTCTTATTATACATGACAACACAACTATGCACCCTCCCCCTACACCTAGCTCTTCAAATTCTCACAGAGATGTTCACACCACACCATCACCATCACCACATAATTCCTCATCACACTCTCCCACGTCATCATCCTCTACCCCAGATAGTCCCTCACCTCACAGTCCTCCATCCTAGAACAATTCTAATCCCATTTCCTTAGACAGTGGTGGACACATTTACATTGATTTACCTATAATGACTGATAATCAATCTAATCTTGCCACACAAGACACATCTGTTTCTTCATCTCAGCTTGCAGTTGGTCACCATATGAAGACAAGGTCTAAATCAGGGATCTACAAACCTAAAGTCTATCCTTCTACAGTTATCCTAGAAGAGCCTAAAAGCATTGATGAGGCTTTGGCTACCACAGAATGGAGAACAGCTATGCAATTGGAGTTTGATGCTCTTGTCAAGAATAACACTTGGGATTTGTCCCCATTGCCACCTGACAAAGACCTTATTGGCTGCAAATGGGTCTTTAAAGCTAAGAAGAATGCAGATGGTAGCTTAGCCAAGTGCAAAGCAAGGTTAGTAGCCAAAGACTACACACAATCTCTTGGCTTTGACTATACAGAAGCCTTTAGCCGTGTGGTAAAGCCAACCACAATTAGATTAGTTCTCAACATGGCCCTCTCACAAGGCTGGGAAATTAGATAGTTAGATGTGGCAAATGCATTCTTGAATGGAGAGTTGGATGCTGCTTTGTACATGGAACAACCGCTTGGATTTTGTGCTTTAGGTTCTGGGAATTTAGTTTGCAAATTAAAGCAAGCATCTAGAGCTTGGACAAGCAAGTTCTCTTCTGCGTTGGGCCTTCTCCATTTTCAATCTTCAAAGGCTAATAATTCTTTATATTATAGGCATACTAGCAATTCTACTATCTTAATCATAGTCTATGTTGATGATATAGTGATCACAGCCATGAACACTCACTTCTCACTCAAAGATCCGGGATCAGTCAATTTCATTTTGGGAGTGGAAATTAACAAGGTTAAAAATGGCTTCTTTCTCTCTCAAAGAAAATATTTGCAGGATCTCCTAACTAGAGCTGGTATGCCTAATGCAAAGGGTCTATCCACACCAATGATTACCAGTCCTCCATTATCAAAGCATGATGGTGTGCCCTTTTCTGATCCAAAACTGTAGAGAAGTCTTCTAGGTGGTCTTCAATATGCCACCTTGACAAGACCTTAAATTAGCTTCAGTGTCAATCGTATTAGCCAATTTATGCAATGTCCCCTGGATAAGCATTGCAAAGCACTTAAAAGAATCCTCAGATACTTATCAGGAACCATGGATTATGGTCTACATTTCATACCTTCAGATCTGCACCTCATTTCATCTTATGCAGATGCAGACTGGGCCTCTGATATTGATGATAGAAGAAGCACCTCAGGATTTTGTGTTTTCTTAGGCAACAACCTCATATCTTGGAGCTCAAAGAAGCAACCAACAATTTCTCGGCCAAGCACTGAAGCTGAATACCGCAGCCTTGCATTAGCAATTTGTGAGCTCTCTTGGATCCAATCTTTGTTAAAAAAGCTTCATCATCCTCTTCACAGACCTCCAACTCTTTGGATGGACAATATGGGAGCTATATCCTTGGCTGGTAACCCAGTAAACCATGCACGAACAAAACATCTTAAAAAAATCTTCATTTTATCCGAGAAAAAGTGGCGCAGAAATCAGTCATCATTAATTATGTCCCTGCCATTGATCAAGTCGTCGACATTTTTACAAAGCCTCTCTCAGATCAATTCTTCGCTTGTCTCAGAAACATGCTACATGTCTTGCCTCAGACCTCGCTTGAATTCGGGGGGATAAAAGCCAAGTTAATGACCTCATGCAATATCATGCAGATCACATGAAAAGCACGTGACAGACTTTTATCATTTTCTATTTTATAATTTTGTCTTATTCTTTATGATTCCTTTATCCTTAGATTTATGCCAAGTGTAGGGATTAGATGAGGTCCATTCTTGTAT